CCCCAACCCCAACCCCAAACCCAAACCCAAACCCAAACCCAAACCCTTCATCTTCTGTCCATGTTATATAATTGAACCGACTTTAAATTTAGCTGTATTTGGTGTTATTAAGTAAATTCATTTATTTAAATAGCTTTATTCTCAAATTCATTTAATACACAAACTCCACTTTAATCTACATAATAGTTTTATAAACATCTTTCACATATTCCATTAAAATAACAAATTGAACAGAAAGTTTCGCATTTTTTATACATTAGGAATATTGTATATTTAGCTCTTTATAGTTTGTTACAAATTAGTGTCCGAATTCATATTATTAACAAGTTGATGAATCAGAGCACTGAGCATAATCATAAGCATAAATGACTTGTGTCATTTGAATTAATTATCCATTCCAATCTATTAAGGAATATGATAAGCTCCATAATTATTGATTTTTCCAAGCATTCCAAACTAAACAGTATATTTATATATCTAATAAAGTTAATAGAGGTATTTAACTATATCATCCTTTAATATAATCAGATTTAATCTTTTCTCCTTAATTATTCAAAAAACAGCAAATTCACCAACAGATTGTTGCTTCTTCTAACTCCAGCTATGATAATTCCTGATGATGTAATAACCATGTTTACACTCAAATCACCTCTTAAATAATTGACTTATTTGAGTAAGATCTAAAATTAAATATTGTATAATCTTAAGTTTCAACTCTAAGATCCAGTAAATGAATATAGAATAACGATTTATTCTGAATCAAGTGTTAATTGAATATATTCTAGATTTGTTAAATCTAAAGAGTACTCTCCTAAAAATTATACCATACTATTTAAAATAATTAATCTAACAGATGTAAATTGAGTTATTACTATGTACAACATTTCTTCATAAATATATAAACTATTTATTCTATTTTAATTACATTCTTAATTTGTAAATGATGAAGGAATATTATGATTTAGTAAATAATCGAATAATTAGTTTTATTCATTATAAAAGTAAAGAAATTGGGTTAAGCATTGATGTATCCAAATTCATAATAGTCTTAGAAGAACGAAACTCAAAAAAATACGAAAATCTTTAATTCTCTTGATTTAAATGCTCTATCTGATTTATAAAGAAACAAAACTAAGTTGATTTCTAAATAATCACTGTAGTGACAATCATTTAATTCTCAAAACTTTTATTATCTTTGTAATTCTCTTGTTTATTAACTTTATTTTAAATATAAATAGAGGATAGCACTTAATAAGATATAAACCAGCTATGTTTAAAATATTGAACATCTTAGTAAAACTTTAAATAAGCATAATTTTGTATCGGCTCTAAATTGAACAAATAATCCACAACTTTATAAATTATTGAAAAACTCTCTATGATAAAACAAGCAGTTTCGATTGTTTATCTCATTAGTAAGTGATTCTTTATGTTAGTGATTAAGAAGAGTATAAAGTATCCTAAACAATTTTAAAGACAATTTTTTCCCTATTTATAATTAAGTAATTTGTTATTTAATAGATGGCTGCTCTATGGAACACTTGAAATAAATTATTGAAAGGATATCATTCAAATTTAGTTTTTAATTCCTTATTATTAATATTATCCAAACTTTTATTCATTAACCAATTAAATTTAGGTTTTTATGAAATAGGAATTATTAATGAGTTAAAAGAGATTTTTTAAATAAATTATTAATTGATTATGCTATTCCATTCATAAGTGATTATGCTGTTCATTATATCAAACTACAAATTCTGATCATTATTAATGAGTTAATTTGAAAAGTAACATAGAAATTATATAATTATGTATATATTAAATAAAATCTAATAAATTATCAATTACTTTAATTGATTTTATTGAAACTAACTAAGTTATTAAGCTTTTATAATAAAACTAATCAAATTTACTACAGACATTAAATCATTGGATAATTCATATGTTTCATTATTTTATAAATTATGAATAAAACGATATCTTTTAATTTAAATTATATTTCAACTCTCCTATCTTAAAGTCTATTCTAAATGCAAGATAGCAATTTTTATTAAAGTACTAAGAATATAGGAGAAAACAAATATTGTAATCTTTTTTCTTAATAAATTATTCTTATGTATCAAATAAATATGCTGATATATGATAATCAATCCTTAACCTATAATAAAGTATTATCACCCATAAATAATTTCACTCTCTTGGCCTTTACCTAACTCCGTATCCTTAGAATCTGATAATTTTATTTAAACGATGACACTTATGCTATAGTTCAAGCCAGCTCTTTTGATATCCTTATCCATCTCCACAGCATAAGGCTCTGGATCTCCAACATAATTATACATTAAAATTTCTATTTATTCTACAACTTCACAATGATATATTCATAGTCCTCCATCAACCTTGTTAGAATGCTTCGCGATAAGATACGCTTAATAATACTTATCTAGTTAAATCACATATCAGCATCTCTGGATTTATTTATTCACATATTTCAATTATTCTTTGAATATTACTTAGAATACCACCCTTACTGAAAATAAAAAATACCTCTACATTAAAATTAAAATTTGAACAAACAGTTAAATTATAAATTCTATGTAGGATAAATAATCAACAACATCTATTTAAGATTAATATATTTAAATATTTAAAATAATCATCCAAAACTTACAAAAGAGATTATTAGTTTTAAAATTTTTATAAATTAGATTTTTTTAGAATTAAGATTATGTATATATAAGGAGGTTATAAAATTTTCATTTCTTCGATTAAATTTTATACTATTAGATATGATATTATTAAGAATCTTATCCTAGAATCTCAAGAAAAGATTATTCTTATTGATATAAAACTATTCACTTTTGAGTATTATTAATACTGAGCAAAACAAAATTTTAGGACGTTGCTTATATAAGGCTACCAATTTCTCATATATTTTTGCTTTTATTTCTTCTTTTCTTTATAATATACAAATTTGCGAGTAATAAAGTTTTTCATAAAAATTGAAAAATACGAAATAACCGATATTTCTCATATTTAAAATTCTATTTGTTCTATTAGAAATTTTATATTATTAATTTATTGAATTTTTTTGGTTAAATTTCAATTTGGATAAAAATGCATATCATTGAATTGCTTTCATTATAAATAACTTAACATTAATCAGTAATTATAAATAAAATAATTTATACAGAAACCAAGTTATAGTAGAACTTGAAGTCAACATAAAAAGGATATTATAATGATAGATATGGATACTTAAGTATATAGAAGAGAAATTTGTATTTATAGATTGGATACTGAAAATTATAATTTAAAATTAAAAAATTTTTTATTTACAGATCAATCCTTGTGTGTTGATAAGACAAAAGAAACTAATAAGATAAAAAAATCTATTTAAGCATTAGAAGATGAATGATCTTAGGGTATTAAATATTGGTAAAAAAGGAAATTTCCATCAAAAATTCAATTTTCAAGAAAGAGATTTAGCATAAACTCGATTTCTTAATTTATACAGATTTTAATAGTTTAAGAAATTATATCATTTAATTATTATTTTATAAATAAAAAAACTACAAAAAAAGATAAAAAAATAAGGATTAATTTAATTTATTAAAAAAAATTGAACTTATGATTGATTAGATAAAATATATTAAAGTTATCTATTAGAAATAAGTTTAGATTATAAAACAAGTTTAAATTATAATATAAGTTTAATAGAAAATTAAATCTAAAACTTTAAATTAAGCAAAAAAATTAGTCTTAATATTCAAATATATAGATTATAAAATGAATGAATTTGAAAATAAATTTGAAAATAATATTAAATATTTAAGAAAATTTTTCTGATTTCAATAATTGGAAAATAATTTCATCAATTATAGAGAAATTACAATTAAAATTAGAAATTAATCTAAGTAATCATATTATAAAATTAATACAATAATTAAGATAAATAAACAATAGATACATAATAATAAATTTTAAATTTCATATTTTATAAAAACTCATTTGAAAAATTAATATAATTTTTAGAAACATAAAAAATTATAGAATTACTATTCTAGGTTAAAAATTGATAATTTAATTGAATTAAAACTAAATCAATTATTTGCATAAACAAAAATATTAAATATTACGATTCTTTAAAAAAATAAAAAATGATGCCTACTATTTCTATATGCTTAGCTAGAATATTTTCATTTAATAAAAAAAGGATGGACTAAAAATTAAAATGAAAGCGATTTTTGTATCTTAGAAAAGTAGAATTAATGATTTATAATAAAATATTGAGCATTTTATAATGATTGAGATATAAATATTCAGTATATGAGATTTTTCGACTACTTCTGAATATAATTAATAGGATTTAAAAAAGGAAGACTTTGATTATTCATTACTGAAACAATAGTTATATTTGAACGTCGAAATAATTAATTCTCATCTATTTTTCAAAAGGTATAATTATATTATAATATATATATAAATTCATTTTAGAATTAACTTTAGAGAATAAAATTTGTTTTATTAAGAAATAAGTTTACAGCACAATTCAGATATTGTATCCAATCGCAATTTCCCTCAGTTTCTCTTCTTTCTTGAAAAAAAATCAAAACAAAATCCAAGATATATAAAATTCATATTGTTATTATTTGATTAGAACAATAGTAATCTTTTCAAAATTTAAGAAATTTATTTGAGATAAAAAAGGAGAAAGCTTAGAGCAATAGGCAATTACAAGGCAAAATATATCTATTTCTATTAATTTGATTAAAATAAAAGTAATAGAAATTGAATATTAAAAAAATTTTTATGGATTGCTCAAATTTCTTGAAAGAAGATTTATCTTAGATTTTTGCATAGGTGAAAGAGGTGAATGATTAAATCTTTATTCATATGATTGAAATATTTAGAAAAGAAAAAATATCAGACAGCATAAGATATCTTTCAATTGATAAGAATCAAAGGCAAGTTCAATTTTACATTTAAAAAATAGATACTTCATCATCGTCAGATGAAGGAGAGAAGCTAAAAGTTATAAAAGACAATATTAGGAAAATTCATAATGCTCTCAAATAAATTAAAGATAATGATTTTAATAAAAATAATTACTCATTGGAAAAATACTCATAAAATAAACAAGTTATAATGAAAAAAATTGACAATAATAAAAATATCACTTAATTTTTAATATTTTTAGTTAATCTAACTTCTTAGGATAGCCAGTTCATAATATGCGGATCAAATTCACTAAATTTATTAGTTGAAATGGAGATTGATATAAGGAACTAGTGTTTTAAAAATATTAAGATTAAAAATACTTCCATCATTGGAGGTAATTTTGTACGATGCAATTTAAGTGGATCAGAATTAAATAATGTAGATATTAGTGGAGTTAACTTAAATGGAGCTTAACTATTTAATTGTAAATGGTAGAATTTGAAAATAACTCAATTAAATAAATTAGATGGCCATAGTAGTTATGTAAATGTAGTCTGCTTCTCTCTTGATGGAACTACTTTAGCATCTGGCAGTAGTGATAACTCTATTCGTTTGTGGGATGTTAAGAAAGGATAATCAAAAACTATTTTAGATGGTCATAGTGGTTCAGTTTTCTCAGTATGCTTTTCTCCTGATTGTACTACCTTAGCATCTGGTAGTGAAGATGAGTCTATCTGTTTATGGGATGTGAAAACAGGGCACTAAAGAGCTTAATTGAAGGGTCATACAAATTGTGTAAACTCAGTATGCTACTCCCCTGGTGGTACTACTTTAGCATCTAGTAGTAGTGATAACTCTATTCGTTTATGGAATGTTAAGACAGGACTTTAAAAAGCCAAATTAGTTGGTCATAGTAAATCAGTCTTTTCAGTATGCTTCTCCCCTGATGGTACTACTTTAGCATCTAGTAGTAGTGATAACTCTATTCGTTTATGGAATGTTAAGACAGGTTAATAAAAAGCCTAATTAGAAGGTCATAGTAGTTCAGTCTTCTCAGTATGCTTCTCTCCTGATGGTACCACATTAGCATCTGGTAGTGGGGATAACTCTATTTGTTTATGGGATGTTAAGAACGGTTAATAAAAAGCCTAATTAGAAGGTCATAGTAGTTCAGTCTTCTCAGTATGCTTCTCTCCTGATGGTACTACTTTAGCATCAGGTAGTGGTGATAACTTGATTTATTTATGGGATGTGAAGACAGAATAATAACAAGCCAAATTGGATGATCATACTAGTTTTATCTATTCAGTATGCTTCTCTATTGATGGAACTACTTTAGCATCTGGTAGTTGTGATAACTCTATACGTTTATGGGATTTTAAAACAGGACAATAACAAATCAAATTAAATGGTCACAGTAGATCAGTCTATTAAGTGTGCTTCTCTCCAGATGGTAATACGTTAGCATCATGTAGTTAAGAAAAGTCTATCTATTTATGGGATGCAAAGACAGGACAATAAAAAGCCAAATTGGTTGAAAATCAATAAATTGTCTACTCATTGTGCTTCTCTCCTGATGGTAGTACTCTAGCATCTAATAGTGGTTGTAGGTCTATCATTTTTTGGGAGGTGAGGACAGGATAGTAAAAAGCAAAATTGGATGTTGATAGTGATTATGTAAATTAGGTATGCTTCTCCCCTGATGGTAATACATTAGCCTCTGGTTATAAATCTTTACTTATATTGGATGTTAAGACAAGAAAATAAAAAGCCAAGTTAAATTGTCGTATTAATTATATCAACTCAATTTGTTTCTCTCCAAATGGAGCTTTATTAGCATGTTGTAGTGGTAATAATTAAGTTAGATAATTCGATTATTTAATCCATATATGGGATGTTAGGACAGGATTTTTGAAATTCTAACTAGATAGCTGTAGTGATTGTGTAAGATCGGTTTGCTTCTCCCCTGATGGCACTATTTTGGCGTCAGGAGTAGGAGATAATAGTGATAGAGGTTTTTTCGTTTACTCAATAATTTTATGGGATGTTACAAAAGGAGATCTTTTATAAATATTAAATGGTCACACTAGTATTGTTTATTCAGTATGCTTTTCTCCAGATGGTGCTATTTTAGTATCTGGTAGTGATGATAAGTCTATCCGTTTTTGGGATGTTAAGACAGGAAAATAACAAGTGAAATTAGATGGTCATAGCAGTGCAGTCTACTCAGTCTGCTACTCTCCTGATGGTACTACATTAGCATCTGGTAGTTAAGATTAGTCCATTCGTTTATGGGATGTTAGAATTGGATAATAAAAAGTAAAATTAGAAGGCAATAATGACAATGTCAACTCAGGGTGCTTTCATCTTGATAGTATTTCATTAGCATCTGATATTGATGAAGAAGAGATTCGCTTATTGCATATAAAGAGAGGATAATAAAAAGCCAAATTAGATGGCCATAATAATTGTATCAATTCTGTCAGCTTCTCTCCTGATGGTAATAATTTAGCATCTGGAAGTAGAGATAAATCTATATGTATATGGGATGTTAAAACAGGATAATAAAAAGCCAGACTAATCGGTCATTAGAGCAATGTCTATTCAGTATGCTTCTCTCCTTAGGGTACAATTTTAGCATCGGGTAGTCATGATACATCTATTCGCTTGTGGGATGTTAGGACAGGATAATAAAAAGCCAAATTAGATGGCCATAATAATTGTATTAATTCTGTCAGCTTCTCTCCTGATGGTAATAATTTAGCATCTGGAAGTAGAGATAAATCTATCTGTATTTGGGATGTTAAAACAGGATAATAAAAAGCCAGACTAATTGGTCATTAGAGTAATGTCTACTCAGTATGCTTCTCTCCTTAGGGGAAAATTTTAGCATCGGGTAGTCATGATAGATCTATCCGTTTATGGTATACCAAGACAGGACAATAAAAAACCATAATTTATGGCCATTAATATGGAGTCATATCAGTATGCTTCTCTCCTGATGGCATTATTTTAGCATCTTGCAGCTATGATAATTCTATCCGTTTATGGGATGTTAACACTGAATAATAAATAGCTAAATTGAGTGGTCATAGTAGATGTGTTAACTCTGTTTGCTTCACTCCTAATGGTACTACATTAGCATCTGGTAGTGATGATAAGTCTATCCGCTTTTGGGATGTTTAGACAGGAAAAGAAAAAGTGAAATTAGAGGGTCATAGTAGTTGCGTAAATTCGGTATGCTTCTCTCCTAATGGGGCTCTGTTAGCTTCTGGTAGTTATGATAACCCTATTCATTTATGGGATTTTAAGACAGGTAAATAAATAGCCAAATTAGAAGGCCTATAATTTAAAACTATACAATTTGAAAATAACCCTCTTTTAGAGGATAGTATTTATTTCTACTATATCTAGTTAATTCAAATATCACAATTCTCCTTATATCCGAAAAACCCATTTTTTAAGCATAAGGAACTTTAATATTTAATGGAAAAATCGAGAATCAATCCTGCATAGATTTAAAACCTTTATTTAAATCAAATGGAAGTATCTTTTTGTACAGTAATTTAGAACAGCAATAATAGTCGAAATGATTATTATCAGAAACATTAATAAAAACATTAAGATTTTCATAGTTATTTTCATTACTACCCTTACGAGATAAAGTCTTTCTTTTGTTATAAATCGAATAGTGGGCAATGGATCTGTGTAAATCAAAAATTATTTTTTCCTCCTCCTCACTCATAGGTAACACTAAGACAGTATTTATAAAATATTGGGCCCTTATTTTACTAGTTTAACAATAAAACCTTTTTCAATCTTAATCCTCCAATTTTAAAAATTCCTTCATCCTCACATCTCCTTTTTCTAATTATCCCAAATTCATATTAATTTGTTTATGAGAAACAACTATCTAATTGTTCTATCTTCAGAAAATCAGCATACCACCCATTTATTTTATAACTAATTTTAAAAAATAACACTTGATAGGCATGGGCAAACAAAAATCTCTAAATTTTATTTGAAAAAAATAATTTTCTCATAGCTTTTTGAATTTTTCAAATTTTAGAAATTACTTCAAATTTCAAGAGAAAATCTAGTTAATTTTATTTAAATAACCTATCATTGTCTAGGGACGATGCATTTTATAAAAGTGAAGTTATTTTTCCAAAATAAGAATATCAATAGAAAAAGTTAGTGGAATCGATTGATTACCTATATATACAGTAATTACTAGATAATTCAAATTACAAAACAATTTTTATTTTACTATTATTATAATTATTATTATGCGATTTAATTTTCTTCTCAAGAATTATTATTATTTTGAAATTGACAGCATTTTAAATGGAAATATTATAAAAAGCTTGCTTAGTTAAATAGATGTAAACTAAATTTTAATATATAGAGATAACAATATTATTTTTTTATTTTAATTTATAGAGCACATGAACATGAAAATAACCAGCTGGCCAAATAAATATTTCTTATTTAGTTTATTAATTTTTTATATATTTATGAATTTTTATCTATGTAGAAGCAGATTTGAGGTTAAAGTAAAAAAGCATATATAAACTAAGAATTAATTAAAAAATATTTATAGATAAATTGATAAAATGATATGTAATTTAGATAAAAATATAATTTTATCAGTTTTAATTGTCTTTGAATTGGAAAAAGAGATTATTTTGTCAATAGAAATTTTACTTTTATTTTATTTAATTCTAATTCAATAGCATTTTCAAGGCAAATTAATTGTAATTGTATTTTGTTTATTTACAATTAATAATACAGACACTTAATTTTACTAAATTTTTTGCACCAAATATCCTTGATCTCAATTACTCTGAATAATGCAATCATCAAATCCTTCTCCATATTTTCCCTATTTGATAAAACAAATAAAACATAAAGCCCAAACAAATTTGACCTAAAATGCAAGAAATTAACTCCTTGTTCTATTTTTTACCGATAAATAAAATAATCATTGATATTGGTAAAAAAATATCCTCCTTGTTATTTTTCTTGGTTCCTCCCTGTTTTATTTAGTTCCTCAGTCCACTTACAATAGCATGTAGACATTTAGGGCTTCTGCAGTATTTAGGCCCATACTTTCTGCTGGTACTCTTCTCGATTTGGCCACAAAAGATTCAATGAATTCTAAAGCAAAGGATATAAGAAATAGAACTTTATTCTGACTAGTTCTACCTTCTTCAAAGTGCAAAAAACTGGAGGAGAGCTTGAATCACGCTTTTTATTCTTCGTTTAGGAAAGAAATGATGCCTTCACTTCATAAAAAATTTAACTTTATATTTAGTTGGAATTATTATTTGTATGAAAAATTTTTTTTTGATAATTAAATAAAAAAGAAGTAAAAACTTTAATAGGAAATCAAGGAAGCTCTGATGATAAATAAAAACAAATGCTTATTTAACAACTATAATAAGAAGCTAAATGAAATAATAACTTACCAATTATTTTTGTTTTAGAGTTGCAAAGTCTAAATAAGAGTTGAAGATAGCAAAAGGAAGAAAATAAAAAAAAGTAGATTTAAAGTAGAGATAATAAAAGCGAAAAACGACTCTAAACCACAATGGGAGGAAAAATGATCAAATTATTAGGTAGAGGAAGTCTAAGTTAGGTGAAACAAGACGAAATTCTCAGAAAATAGATTCAATTTATTTAATTCCAATGATAAAGAAAGCTTAGAAACAATTATTGTTAATTAGAAATGATTGAATAGCAGAGATCGGTGTTGAGGTATTTGAAATATTCATTTAAATTTCTTGTTGTTTTTTTTGAATGAGAAAATAATTAATTTAGCTTATTGAGTAATATTTTCAAAAATAATAATAAATATATATATTGATATCTTGAATGGATTAATATGAATATAGCCTACAAACTTGAAAAATAGATTTTGACAGTAATATAGAGGTAATGTAGTATTTCAGATATAAATATGGAATATAGGTATCAAAGGTAATCTACCTGAAATATCATAAGAATCATTGCTTATGACAAAAGAAAAAAGCTTAAGATAAACAAAAATGGGGAGCCATTAATTTTATTGAAAATAATTATTTTGATAATTAATCATTCAAAAAAATATTACTTAATAAATCTCACATTCTGCTATATTTGGAGTTGCTTAACCAAATAAATGAGTGCTGTTAGTAATATTCTAATATTAATCACATTAATATGAATGCCCCAAATTAGAAGAATGACCTTGAAAAGTAACATCAATATATATATCGTGACCACCTCCAAAAATAGGCCCATATGATTAATGACTATAGATAGCCTGTGCTTTATTTGCTTCTTTTAAAGGATATATTTAATCTTGAGTCTAGGAAAATAAAAATGATGACAATGTATTATCTTAAAGGTAACCTTAATTAAATTGCCATTTACAAGGTGAAAACCCACCACAAATATTACCACTTTTAGATTTGAATATCATTAATAAATCTGACTTATCATTTACTTTATTCCAAAAAGCTTATCCAGACAATCCATCTCTAGATCCCAAATATATTTGTGAAAAGTTTCTTATGTTTTTATTCAATTTAGATTAAATCATATTAATTATCTTTTATAGTTAAGAATATGAAATTAACTTTCCATCATATTTTGTACAAATTTAACCACAATATTTTAACTTAATGTGTTAAGCAAAACTTTATTAATGAAGGATAAAAGATTTAAATTAATCTTCTACTTTTTTAAATTAAGGATATTACTCTTCATATGAATCTTTTCGTTCTTGTTTAAATCTATCAAGCATATCAATCAATTTTTAATTTAGTTCTTAACAACTATTTTTTGTAAGTTCTTAAAAATACTAATGCAGAATCTTTTCATTTTATTCAATTGCTTATTAATTAATCGAGTCTCCTAATTATTCTAGATTAACTGCAAATTATTAAAACTAATCAAATTTTATTATCTATTATTGATAAAATAATTACTTTCTTTAATTCATCCCTAATTTTCTATTTCATATTTAGAATACCTTTTGCATGCTATTCTAATTCTTTATAAACTGCTTTTAGGGTGTTTTCTATTTGTTAAAATTAAGTCTAGAAATTTATTAGATCACTATTCATGGTTTTATCATCATATTTATCTAAATCGTTGAAAAAACCTTAAATGGAAGTGGACAGACCCAGTTTTGAAATTAAATGTTCTGGTGATTGTAGTGCCTTTCATATAATATTAAGAAATTGTACTTTATTGATAACAATTACCTTTTACCATTCAAATTAAATGTATTATTCATTCAATTCCAGCAAACATTACTCACAAATATACTTTGCCTCATTCTTATCTTGTTTTATAAATAGCAAATATGATAAATCATGTTTCAAACAGGGAATTTATTTCATTTTCTATTAAAATAATTATTTAATAAATTGAATTAATAAAGATGGGCTATTATAAGGAATAATTAGAAACGAAATTACTTTGATGATTCAATTCAAATAATTCATAAGCTAATATATCAGATGATGAAAATTGTCATATAAATGTTTTCTATAGTAAATTTAATAGTAAATTATTTATGCTTATCTTTCCTCTCAGTGCCAATAAAGATGAAAATCAAATCATTTAAAAAATAACTAGATAGTTAGTAAATTAATACTTTGAGGAAGAGCAGAAAAAAGTTATAAGTAATTGTTATTATTTATAAGAAGCAACATAATTAGAAAATGATTATTGATAAATTAAATTTTATTATAAGCCATCAGAAAAAAATTATAAAGTTATGGAAGTTTTTAGTTGATTTCTCAATTATGAATTAACCTCATATTCAATAAACTTCAATTCTTACCAAAAATGGATCTTCCTCTCAACTTAAATTCATAACATAATTTTTGATTCAGGCTATAAAACTGAAAATACAAGAAATAGTAGTTTATCATTATTTAAAAAAGATTATGAAATGCACTTATCATATTAGGAAATAAGTCTTATTCATATATATAGCTTCTCACAAATGTTAATGTTAAAGAAAATGTGTACAGAATGCCTTTATGAACCTGAAGTCGATGTCAAACAAACATTTCCAATAGATAAACTTCGAAAAATGCATATCAAAAAACAAAAATAATCTAAGCTATAAGAAATATTTAAGTTGGCCAACTAGGGAATGAAATTTAAATCCATGATCTCCTTGGTTGAGAATGTGATGAGTAAATTTGCTAAAATTTAAAAAATTTAATAAACTAAATTTATGATATGATTGATTAGGAAAATTAATCAAACATTAATCTATCTATGAATATATGATTCTAAAATTCTAAAAGAATCCTCTTATTCTGACTTAGAAAAATTAGTATAAATTTTAGTAGGAAATACATTAAATTTATGGAATGTGAGAAAAAACTTGAATCTAATGAATTTAGAAAAAGTAAATAATTGGTTGAATTAAGAAGTTACAGCTATTAATGAAAAGATTTAAAAATAAGCAGAATTATAATTATTATAATAAAGTATGATTTTAGAGTAAAATATTTAGAATATTTAATATTGTCAAAATTCGATTTTATTGTCTTTGTTACTTGTAATTAAGAGTCCTAAGGAATCTAATAATTGAATTTTAGTGATATCTTTATTATAAACTTCATGAGAATATAGTCTAAAATGATTACGCATTTCCATAATTAAAATAGAGTTTTTTTGTGCTTATTGAAAAGAAAACATAGAAAATAATATTTAATGATATTTATTGATATACATTTAATAAATCAATAATTTTTCTAAAGGTCTGATCCTTCATAGTTTTTTTAGAAGGCTCTACACCTTGTTACATTATGATAATTTCATCCTTGGCAATAATATCAAACTTCTTTAATTCCTCCTTTGGCAACAATTTGTAGACCATACCTGGTAATAATTCCTTTAGAAATTTCTTATATGATTCATTTTCTTCTGAAAATTCCAAAGTTTCCAACATCTTTATAGTTTGGGTTTTGAATTTATCCAAATCATAACTAAGTTTATATTTTTTGTTGTCTTCTCTTTTATAAAGAAGTTCTTCATTTGCTTTTTTAATTTTTTAATCAAAAATATGCTGTATTTAAGGGAGCAACAAGAAAAATTCAATTTAGTAATTTTCTCCTAATTTAATTCAGAACTCAAAGATAAATTATAAAAGATTTAAAGATCTTGAAATTCTTATTTTTTTAAATCGTATAAGCAACGATAAACATTTTACACTTTGTACTAATCGTTAACTTATAATTATTTAGATTTTTCTGAAGTTATTAGTTCTCCAAATTACCTAATTCTTCATATTAATGAGTCGAATGTCATTCTTTAAAAGGTAATAAAAAAAGTTGCTTAAATCTTTAAAAACTCCTAACTATGTCACATTTACCTAAAATCTCTTTTTTATATTGATTTTTCAAATTTCAAAGTCTCATTATAATTCCATAATTATGGTCTTTCATTATTTAACTTTTTATTCATTGTAAGGATATGTTAAAATGAAGTAAAATGGCTTAATCTTGTAATTTCTTCAACTACACACTAACACTAAGAACAATAAAGATTCTGATCTTTGTTCAACCAAATAATTTTATTCAATTCGTTTTTCTTTTATTTATCAATTAAATTCTAATCTAATTATACATCCTTGATATCAAAATTCGAGGAATCTTACATTTTGTTAATTTTAATTTAAATTAATGTTTTTAACATGTTATTATATATTCCAAAAATAAGATGACTTTATTTTAGGGAAAAAAAGTATTATATTTGGACAATGATCAGATAAAATAAATGCAAAATTTGAATTTTATTTTTTTAAAGATAATGGCTATTAAAATCAAAGAAACGTAAATAAGAGAGGTTTGAATTGAAGTTTTAATATTGGTATTGAAAATTGGGTTGAGCATGAAACAGTTATTAAAAAATTCAATAATTCATTTAATGTATGAATAAGAAAGGTTAGTGTGTAATCTAAATAAATTCTTTGAGATATGTAGTAAGCATGATAAATTAAAATCATGTACAATAGATTCAATAGGTTTGCTTATTAATTTTATCACTAAAATAATCTACTAATTAAATAGAAGGTTAGCTGTAAAACATTTAAGAGAACTATTAACTCTCTCATCATAAAATATGGCAAAAATATATTATTGATATTTATCAAAAAAGATTGGATTGTAAGATAATGAAAGTTATCCTATAAAAAGAGTTGTTTCACATTTAATAATAAATGTGAGAGAATAATTAGATTTATAATTTTAAGAAGGCTGTAAAGAACATAATCAGATTGAACAATCATCACTACCAGATGCTATTGAGCTCTTATTACTTATTACAAACAATCATGATAACTTTTCTAATAACTAAAGGAATAAGACTTTAAAATTTCTAAAGATTATACCAAATAATAAAAATTATTTAAAAATACAATTCAACAAATTAAAAAATTATCAGAAATTAAAGAGATGTTTTATAGAAATTGAAAGAAATTTGATAATAGCATCTGAAAGTATTAGAAATTGAAGCTATCTAGAAAATCCTTTATTTTNAAATTCGAGGAATCTTACATTTTGTTAATTTTAATTTAAATTAATGTTTTTAACATGTTATTATATATTCCAAAAATAAGATGACTTTATTTTAGGGAAAAAAAGTATTATATTTGGACAATGATCAGATAAAATAAATGCAAAATTTGAATTTTATTTTTTTAAAGATAATGGCTATTAAAATCAAAGAAACGTAAATAAGAGAGGTTTGAATTGAAGTTTTAATATTGGTATTGAAAATTGGGTTGAGCATGAAACAGTTATTAAAAAATTCAATAATTCATTTAATGTATGAATAAGAAAGGTTAGTGTGTAATCTAAATAAATTCTTTGAGATATGTAGTAAGCATGATAAATTAAAATCATGTACAATAGATTCAATAGGTTTGCTTATTAATTTTATCACTAAAATAATCTACTAATTAAATAGAAGGTTAGCTGTAAAACATTTAAGAGAACTATTAACTCTCTCATCATAAAATATGGCAAAAATATATTATTGATATTTATCAAAAAAGATTGGATTGTAAGATAATGAAAGTTATCCTATAAAAAGAGTTGTTTCACATTTAATAATAAATGTGAGAGAATAATTAGATTTATAATTTTAAGAAGGCTGTAAAGAACATAATCAGATTGAACAATCATCACTACCAGATGCTATTGAGCTCTTATTACTTATTACAAACAATCATGATAACTTTTCTAATAACTAAAGGAATAAGACTTTAAAATTTCTAAAGATTATACCAAATAATAAAAATTATTTAAAAATACAATTCAACAAATTAAAAAATTATCAGAAATTAAAGAGATGTTTTATAGAAATTGAAAGAAATTTGATAATAGCATCTGAAAGTATTAGAAATTGAAGCTATCTAGAAAATCCTTTATTTTAATCTTAAAAATTTTGAAAAGCCAAAAAATGAGAATGTCTTAATCAAATTTGATTGCTTAATTTAATTATTAAAAACAAGTAATACTTAAGCCAATATTCCAAAAAAACTAATAAATTTAATATGCTATTAAAATGAATCACCTGTTTATATTGAATATATAAAGAAGCTTTATATATATGTATTAATATTATAATCGTTTTTACTGATAATGGTTTATTTTGAAAAATAAAATAAAAATTTATTTATCATTTTTCTTAAATATTTCTTAAATTTAAATTCTAAGATTTAAAGATTTTTTATCAATTTAAAATAAATTATTTCAAACTTTTTTAATAGATTATTTTGACTATAATTAGTTAATTATAGTTGATAATAAACGTTTTGTTTTAAATTCTTTACCTCTCAACTTTATAATTCCTGTAAAGTATTCAATTCTATTTTGAAAATATTTTTATTAAGAATCTAATTATTATTTCAAAAATTTTTGTTATGTCTTAACAATTTATAAATATTTTTAAAGCAATTTTATAGCCAAACAAAATAGTAGATCTATTATTTTGTTTTAACATACCGCTTATCTACATTAATCATCCATTATTATCTATTTCATAAATAATGTATTTTATAATACTGAAACGAATGGTGAGATTAGGATGGAATAAATTTATATTTAATTTGGATTAGTTCAAATTGCGATATTTATCTAAACACAGCATTTTAATATATTTATAATAGAAAAAATATGTATTATTTACAGATCACCTTTATCTTTGATTTGAAATCTCAAACATAAAAAGAAACAATATCGATTACAATATTATAATTATATATGCATTTTGTAATCAATTTCGAAAATTTGTATTATTATTAATCTAAAACATTTAATAATGTGCTATTAGAGAACGATAAATATTTAAGCTTTATTTTCAAATTAAGCCAATTCTCTTAAGTTAACATCGAATCATTTTAATTCGTATGGTGATTATCCATAAAATAACTACCTTAAAATTTGCATTATCAAGAGTATTAGTGTTACTATAATCACATTCCCTTATTTTACAATTTTATTTCACCACAATAACAAGAAAGTTTATTAGATTCAAACTTTAGTTTGTCATTTAAATTCCAAACTTAATTCCAAAACAAGTTTTTCATGATTTTAAAAACAATCAAACTCTATTATCTTTTATATATATTAATGATACTTTATAATAAAAGAGAAATATAAAGATTTTTATTAACAATAATTCCAATCAAAAATTTTCCTTTAATTTTTTTCAATTTTAAACTCATTGATTAAACAATATTGCTAGATAAATTGCTATTTACAGGATTTAATTCTTGGTAATTATTTTTAAACAACCATATTACATAGAATAGAAAATATATTTAAAAAGATTTTGAAATAATACATTTTTTTTTTTGTCTCCATAATTAAATGAAAAATAAAATTTTAATAAATTTGCCAAAAATTCTAAAATTTATCATTTACATATAAACATAATATTGATATTTCAGCTCTTTACTCCCCATTTAAAAAAAAGGGACTTTCCAATGTTTTGCATTTCATACTGTTTACATAATAGTTATTTTTTTAATTTCTCTTGATATTCTATCTGAAAATTCTTTGAACCATTTTAATTTAATTATCTTAAATTCTTAAATTCATTAGCTGCTGCTAAAATATGCTTGGAATAACTAAAAAAAAAAACCACTGGAATAGTAGATTAGGGAACTTAATTTCCTACTTAAGCTTTTTCATCAATAAATTCTTATCCTGAAATTTAAGTATTTCTTAGTCTTTTAAATTTATCTAATAAATAACCCATTTTATTTTTAAAACTAAATAAGATATTTTCTATTTATATTAATTTTTTTTATAAATATTTTAATCAGAATTTAAAATATTCAAATTACAAAAGATTTTAAATAAGACTTAATTATCTCAATCTTTATCATTTTATTTTTACTTTTATGATTTTGCATTTTCTATGCTTTATCCTTGAATTAATTCATACTATCAAAGTAGCTAAATTTATTTAAGAGTAATTTACGATTCTTGATAAACTTGAATATTTATTTTTATCTTAATATAACTCTATTATATCGTTTTCTTAATAGTTTTGCTTTTTTATTACAATATTGTCCTCTAGATTGATCTTTGGTAGTTTAGAGATTGAATTATAAATTTTTAATTTCTTTTTTAAGCTGAATTTCATTAAATAGCCGAAAAATTTATGTAAAAAAAATTCATATTTTTTAGTTTTTGTTTGTAATAAATTTTGTATTTCCAATGATGTTTAATTTTGCAATTTATTGTTTTGAATTATTTACAATAATTTTAGTAAAAATACATTAAACACTTAAAAAATTATTCACTTCATAATTATTCATGTTATTAATTTTGTTAAAGTATTGGAGATTAAGAATTTCTCGATTTGAGAGAGTTAAAAAATTGAATAAGGGCTAAAATATAATGTGTTAGGTATAATCTGTTATCATTTATAAAATACTAGTCGTTGAAATTAAGATTGACAGCAAAATCCAGACAATTATGAAAATTAATATTATGATCTTAAATAATAAGATCCTTAACCTCTATAATTATAGAAATCACATAACTCACAAAGAGCCCCAATATACCTAAAACACAAGATATATATTTCCAAGTTCCTATTCTTCTAAACAATTTTTAGGATTGTGGTAATAATATTCAATATTTTAGTTAAATTTATAAGACTTCTTATTTTGATCATTGAAGATCAATCAATTAAATGTTTGTTTCATCTTTAAGACCACAATTTTAGGCGTTTCTTGTTACTTAGTATTCAAATTTATCACAATTTGTTCATCTCCCCTAATTAATATGGAATAGTTATTGGCAGAATTATTCTTAAATATATTATGGTTAGCAATCTAATTTAATTTAATTATTTCAAGATTATTAGCTTATAATATGCAATTATCTTTAGATAGTTAATTTTGAAGTTATAAGTTTTTCAATATCGATAAACACCCTGTTTATCCACATAGACAATTTTAAATTTTAATTGACTCAAATTTTATAGAAACAGATTTTCATAAATAAATATCTACAATTTGAACTAACTTATTGCTTTTCCTTAATTTATTTTATTACTACAATATCAAGATTTAATTGCAAACTAATTAATTCTACTTAACTAAAGTATCATTCATTTTACCATTTGCTAGTACAAGTATCGATCCTTTTTGAAGTTATCGATCTATTATTTACAAAAACAAACTCTTAATTAATGAGTCATATTTTGATTATGATAATTAAATAAATAATATTATAAGATCATTTATGCGAATTATCATGAACTATATTTTAACTATTGATATAAATAAAGACAATCTTTATAATTAAATCAAATTTTTAATTAATTAATATTCTACCTTCAACACCCTACTTTCAGGCTAAATTTCCAATACTTATTAGATGTTCGAAATTATATTAAGTAAGATGGTTATTATGTTGAATAGGATGTACTTTGTGAGAAAAAAGAATTCATACCAATAATGCAATTAAATCTTTTTCTATATTATTTTGAAAATAGCATTAACCTATTATTACATTTTTATTGATCAAAATTTTTGCGATTTTACCTAATTCATAATTGAGGAAAGAACCTTTTTAAGTTCAGAATTCGAGTATTTTAACATAGTCCTTTCAATAAAAATTTGATGAAATTTTAATATAATAAATTATTAGAAAAAGATTATGATTGTAAATTGAAAGATAAAAGAAATAAAAAATTTGACAAAGAAGATGATAAAATTATTTAAAAGTTCTAATGAGTTTATCAAAATATCTTTCTTAGATAATTATTTTCCTCTGTATTAAATAACTAATTAAATTAGTAGAACTAAAATAAAAAAAAANGGGCTAAAATATAATGTGTTAGGTATAATCTGTTATCATTTATAAAATACTAGTCGTTGAAATTAAGATTGACAGCAAAATCCAGACAATTATGAAAATTAATATTATGATCTTAAATAATAAGATCCTTAACCTCTATAATTATAGAAATCACATAACTCACAAAGAGCCCCAATATACCTAAAACACAAGATATATATTTCCAAGTTCCTATTCTTCTAAACAATTTTTAGGATTGTGGTAATAATATTCAATATTTTAGTTAAATTTATAAGACTTCTTATTTTGATCATTGAAGATCAATCAATTAAATGTTTGTTTCATCTTTAAGACCACAATTTTAGGCGTTTCTTGTTACTTAGTATTCAAATTTATCACAATTTGTTCATCTCCCCTAATTAATATGGAATAGTTATTGGCAGAATTATTCTTAAATATATTATGGTTAGCAATCTAATTTAATTTAATTATTTCAAGATTATTAGCTTATAATATGCAATTATCTTTAGATAGTTAATTTTGAAGTTATAAGTTTTTCAATATCGATAAACACCCTGTTTATCCACATAGACAATTTTAAATTTTAATTGACTCAAATTTTATAGAAACAGATTTTCATAAATAAATATCTACAATTTGAACTAACTTATTGCTTTTCCTTAATTTATTTTATTACTACAATATCAAGATTTAATTGCAAACTAATTAATTCTACTTAACTAAAGTTCATTCATTTTTCCATTTGCTAGTACAAGTATCGATCCTTTTTGAAATTATCGATCTATTATTTACAAAAACAAACTCTTAATTAATGAGTCATATTTTGATTATGATAATTAAATAAATAATATTATAAGATCATTTATGCGAATTATCATGAACTATATTTTAACTATTGATATAAATAAAGACAATCTTTATAATTAAATCAAATTTTTAATTAATTAATATTCTACCTTCAACACCCTACTTTCAGGCTAAATTTCCAATACTTATTAGATGTTCGAAATTATATTAAGTAAGATGGTTATTATGTTGAATAGGATGTACTTTGTGAGAAAAAAGAATTCATACCAATAATGCAATTAAATCTTTTTCTATATTATTTTGAAAATAGCATTAACCTATTATTACATTTTTATTGATCAAAATTTTTGCGATTTTACCTAATTCATAATTGAGGAAAGAACCTTTTTAAGTTCAGAATTCGAGTATTTTAACATAGTCCTTTCAATAAAAATTTGATGAAATTTTAATATAATAAATTATTAGAAAAAGATTATGATTGTATAAATTGAAAGATAAAAGAAATAAAAAATTTGACAAAGAAGATGATAAAATTATTTAAAAGTTCTAATGAGTTTATCAAAATATCTTTCTTAGATAATTATTTTCCTCTGTATTAAATAACTAATTAAATTAGTAGAACTAAAATAAAAAAAAATAACTATTTATGGTTATTTTAATTGAAAATAATCTAATAAATTTTTCGAATTAATCAATGATAATTCAATTCATGTTTATTTGATAACTTAATAAAGAGTATCTTTAATTTTAGCTTCGTCATAACAATATAGAAGTGTTTGATTAAATTAACTTTCTTAATAATATGACATAACAGAGCAAACATGATATCCACATGAATAGCCATCTTTTTATTAGCTAAATTATTTAGAAGAAATATTCTTTTCTGTAGTTGAAGTTAGTAAATTTTTTAATAGTGTAATTATTTCAATATCATTCCATTTTACATTTAAAGAGTCAGTATAGATTATATTATTTGATTATAAATCATATAATAGAAAATACCAATGAGAATTATTTTTATTGATTGGAAATCCAATCTTAGAATAAACTTTTTTCAAATCATAATTAATTTCTTGGTATTATAACAATTCTTCTTCAAATATCTTTTTTGCTTAATTAAAATCATATGGTTTTACAAAATTAGTTGTTAAGCTAGTTGGCATGAATAGAATTCGTTATATATCCTTCCTTTAAACTTCTGTGAGGGAAAAATATTATTGTTCACTATTTAAATTCAGATATAAAACAAAAGCATCAATAATATTGCTTGATAACCATAAATTTGATGTTAAAATGTATAAATCATTTAAGTTGATTTATTAATTAAATCTACACCAAGAAGGAACCTAATATTAGTCTTTAATAACTTTTGAAATACTTTAATTATTAGATTAACTCTTTGCTTAATTGTTATTAATTGTATTATTTCTTAAACATCCTTCCTCAAAATTGCCTTCATATTTTATTTTATTTGATTTTTAACAATATTCAATGCCAATGCCATTAAGTTTAAATCTTGCTTACTTAATATCAATTTCAAAACATCCTTCTTATATTAAATAGTTTGGGTTCATATTTGTATCAAATTCAATTAAATATAATTTACCGAAAGCCTTAAAGGTTTCTTAAGTTATTTTTTAAAACTAATTCGTTGTACAACAATAAAAAATGTAATTTAAAAATTGAATTAAAATGTCGTATTTTATGCTATCAATTTTTATCACCTTCACATTTAAATTTAAACAGTTTTAATAAAAACTGTTTATTTCTTTATTTTCACTCCACAGTTTATTAACTTATTTGTTTTTAATGTTGTCAAATTAAAATTACTTATCAAATTCTGAACTCTTACTTTTTTATTGAACATTATTAACCATTTTCTTTAAAATAATATCAACAATTTCAATAATGTTTAAATGATAGTATTTTGTTATGTCGATTAAAACATCATAATTTTCAATCAAAGAATTATTTATTCTATCTTTACTGAACCCCTATTCATAAGTTAAAAAACATATTGTTTATTTTTTGGAGTTTTCAGGATATAAGTTTTTGAATTATTTAACTAAATTAAGTTGATATTCTAATTAAGATTAGTCAATATCAAAAATTATTTTATCACAAGTTATATCATACCCTAATTGAAGTTATTCTGGTGTCTGAAAAGGTTATAAATTTATAATATACTAATTATGTTATTCTTAAAATAGAATTTTATGTAGTTAACTCCACAATTTTAACTCCTTTATAAACTTAAAAATTCTCTATTTCTAATAGTAATTTATTAAAAATGGTATTATTTCCCCATTCTAAATAGTTAAATATTATACCGAATTTCTAAATGAATATCATCTCAATCAATTCTAAATCATTTTTACTCATCTCTTTGCTTTCTATAAAAGGATTTTCACATTTTTATTTAACATGAGTCTATTAATCAGATTGTTATTTATGAAATCTAAACTATTATGAAAATATTGGATTTTAAAGATGAGAAAAAAATTATAAATATTCTACTTCCAATTTAAAAAGAACATTTTAAATTTTAGTGACACTTGATTTATTCAAATGATAGTTAGAGTCTTAAATTTCATCAAATAATTAATTTAATTAATCATTTTAATTCTAATAAACTTTAATTTGTTTTATCCATTCTTCAATAATTTTATCTAATTCATTCAATTATATCAGAATTTCTGCTTTCATACTTTCAACTATCTTTTTAATATTTTAAATTTGAAACAAAATTTAACTTTACCAATCATTAATCTCCTTTTTAATTCCCAAAGCCTTTGAAAATAAAATTACTTTTTTCGAAAATTCATTTTCTGTGCAAGCATCACACATAAATCTATTTTTGTTTTTTCCAATCCTTCTTTCTAAGTTAACCATTGTTAGAGGTTAATTATGAATAGAGCAAAGAGGCTCAATTAGATTTTTAATCATACTCTTATTAAAATAATTTATTTATTAAATAGAAAATAAAATTTAAATGATAGCTCATAATATTGAATTATTTTTAATTAGTTAAAATATGTTACTCTTAATGCTACATAACCAGGGCTTCTTAAGTTGAATTTATCATATTTAAATCTCAAAAATCCTTATATCAAAAATAAATTGATTTTGTTTTTATATTTTGTTATTCATCCTACTTTTTCTTTTTCAATCAATAACTAGGTACAGAAATAAATAACATACAATTATGCAATCTTTAATAATTATTTTAAAAAACATAGTATAAATACATATTCATAACTCTGCGCAGAATCTAAAGGTAATACAAATTATTTATCTAATAAGCTAAACTCTATTTTTTAACAAATGTTTATAATTTCGAAAACAATTAAAAATGGATTAATTTTATATATGTTCATGCCTACAATATAATATTTATATAAATCGAGATGCTTTGGATTTGAGTACAAAAGTGAAATAAAATTTTCGTATTTAATTAATTCAGTTATTTGATTGCAAAAGATTTTAGAATACAACACAGCCTATATAAAAAATATTAATGTTCAAATAGTTGAAAAATATCAACTCTTCAGATTTAATGTATTGAATGTCGATAAATCATTCATTTAAATATCGTATTATTAAGATATTTTCACAATTAATTAAAATGGATAAGTAAATCTTTACTTTTAATACTATGATACTGATAATGATTTTGATACTAAAAATCTATTCGCTATATGAAGAACATAAAATTAATAATGCTTTTTTTTTTAATTTNTTTTAATATTTTAAATTTGAAACAAAATTTAACTTTACCAATCATTAATCTCCTTTTTAATTCCCAAAGCCTTTGAAAATAAAATTACTTTTTTCGAAAATTCATTTTCTGTGCAAGCATCACACATAAATCTATTTTTGTTTTTTCCAATCCTTCTTTCTAAGTTAACCATTGTTAGAGGTTAATTATGAATAGAGCAAAGAGGCTCAATTAGATTTTTAATCATACTCTTATTAAAATAATTTATTTATTAAATAGAAAATAAAATTTAAATGATAGCTCATAATATTGAATTATTTTTAATTAGTTAAAATATGTTACTCTTAATGCTACATAACCAGGGCTTCTTAAGTTGAATTTATCATATTTAAATCTCAAAAATCCTTATATCAAAAATAAATTGATTTTGTTTTTATATTTTGTTATTCATCCTACTTTTTCTTTTTCAATCAATAACTAGGTACAGAAATAAATAACATACAATTATGCAATCTTTAATAATTATTTTAAAAAACATAGTATAAATACATATTCATAACTCTGCGCAGAATCTAAAGGTAATACAAATTATTTATCTAATAAGCTAAACTCTATTTTTTAACAAATGTTTATAATTTCGAAAACAATTAAAAATGGATTAATTTTATATATGTTCATGCCTACAATATAATATTTATATAAATCGAGATGCTTTGGATTTGAGTACAAAAGTGAAATAAAATTTTCGTATTTAATTAATTCAGTTATTTGATTGCAAAAGATTTTAGAATACAACACAGCCTATATAAAAAATATTAATGTTCAAATAGTTGAAAAATATCAACTCTTCAGATTTAATGTATTGAATGTCGATAAATCATTCATTTAAATATCGTATTATTAAGATATTTTCACAATTAATTAAAATGGATAAGTAAATCTTTACTTTTAATACTATGATACTGATAATGATTTTGATACTAAAAATCTATTCGCTATATGAAGAACATAAAATTAATAATGCTTTTTTTTTTAATTTTATTAAGATTCACTAAAAGAATAAGGCTTTCTTGGTGGTATATATTTTTAATGGAATATGTTAAATAAAAGGAACCTTCATTTAATAAAAATAGATATTAAATTTTTTTAGAGTGAATATGAAATCGAAATTGGCTAGATTTATTGTAAGGTGAAATTAATCGGAAGAGGATAATAAAAAAAACATGGGATTTTTATACATAATTTTAAAATATGACTCATAAGAAGAGTGACATTTATTATTTGATTTGTATTTTTTTAAATTTGATGTAGCAAATTTAAAAAAATTATAATTATTTTATTTTAGATATTTATTTTTGAATAATTTTGAATTAAGGATGCCTAAATTTCGAAGTTAACCAGTTGGATAGAAATCTTAAACATTTATAGATGAGAGATTAATAAGGTTTGAAAAATATTGTTAAGCTATTTCAATCAATATAGATAATTCATTGATTTTATTTGCGAGTGACTCTTCAATCACTTTGTTTCAATATAAATTTGCTTAATTGAAATATATATAAAATTGTAGAAATCACAAAAATTATGTCACTACTTTAAATAATTTTAAGAATAATTTTTAATTTATTTCAGGTTCAATTGATTCGAATATTGTATTATGGTCTTTGAATCTCATGGCAAACAGAAAATATTTATAATAATTATAAGGACATACAGGAATGATTACCTGTTAAGTTCTGATACCAAAAATAGAAAATTTCATAATAACTGGCTCAATGGATAATAAAATTAAGTTTTGGAATGTATCATAATTATAATAATGGAGATGTGTATAAACCATAACAGATCATAAAGATTCAGTCTTAGCTTTAGCAACAAATCTTGAAGGAAATAAAGTGTTATCAAGTGGAAAAGATAATATAATTTTAGTTATTGAGCAGAATAAATTATTGTTTTGGTAAGTTAGATAAAAAATAAAAGTAAATTAATTTGGTTATCGTCTTAATTTTATTGATCATTTTACAATTACTTTCCAACCAGAATAAAGCTCTCATTTACATTTATATAAAACAAATCAGATGGGAGATTTTGAATTAACAACAAATATTCTTGTCGGTGGAGGTGGTTAATATTGTCATTTATTATTTCCATCTATATACAATACCAATAAGCATCTGATAATTACTAAGAATGGGTGGAACTTAAATATTATAAACCATATTCACGATTTTACAAATGAAAAAGATATTTTTTTATTAAAAGAATCTATAGAATTCTCTGATTAATATTTTTTTGGGACTTTGAGTTAGGATGGAGAATATTTAATTACATGGGATACCTAAAACTCACAAATTTCTATTAAAAAATTTAATTCTGAAAACAACTGATTATTAATAAAACATAGATATCTTATAATACTTAAATTTATTTGATTTTGCTATCATTTTTTATAGAAATACATATTATAGAAATTTAATCATTTTTTAGTTTTACATTATAATAATAAATTAAAGATATTGAAAAAATATCAATTTAAACTTAACTTATAGATTTTCGGATGTTTAAGCCTGATAATTGGAAGAATTTTAATAGATTTTTCAGTTATAATTCAGGCAATATTAATATTGATATTTTAATCAATATATATAAATTTAATTAAATTCAATATAAATATTAAATCAATACCGTATGTGGAAAAAATTTATAGATCTTTATTAATTAATTAGCTTTAATATTTATGAAAAATAGAGAGAAGTTATTTTATAAAAATTAAAATTTCATTTTATAAATCCTTAAATTAAATATAAATTATTTTTATTCAACTTTCTTTATTATTTAAGAGTAATATTTATTCTATTAATTAATAATAATTAATCATTAATTTATATAAATAATTGAAATGAAATATCCTTTAGATAAAACAATAATAACAGATAAATATCTCTCACATAGTGATACAAAAATAAAAAATAATTAGTAAGAACAAACTTAAGAACATTTTGCCATATTCTTTAATTCCCCTTATTTATATCCTTTTCAAATAAAAACAAAAATAGAGATTAAATAAAGTTAAAATAAAGACACTATATGCATTGTTGATGGATAAATTTTGAAAACGTAAGAATCTTATAGTTAAAATTAAAAGGGATTGTAATGATGATAATTCTAATTTTCCAGCAGTAGTTACTAACTTAAATTAAATGAAATATCTTCGATGGTAAGGTTAATATGGATAAAATTTGAAAAAAATCGGTAAATGGAATGCCTTTTGGAAAGGAGAGTTAATAAAGAATGTAGGTGGGTAGTACTCATAAGATGGAGAAAAATAAGGTGAATGGAAAGAAATTATTAATAAATAGTCGAAGTTATTTATTCTAATATACTTTCAGTAGTGTAGAATCGTATGAAGTTGGAATTTACCAAAATAATAAGAGAATAGGGATATGGAAATTTTGTTTTGTAAATAAAGAAATGTATGTATTTAAAATATTAATATAAAGTTGTAATGGATCATATAATGAGCAAGGTTTAAAATTCGGTAGATGGGTAGAATTAAGTAAAAATTTTGATAGGTTATACTTTATTATTGATGATCAATTTTTAGTTATAGTTAAATTGTTTATGAGGGGTTCTATGATAATAATAAAAAAGTTGGTAGATGGAATATTCTTCATAGATTAAATGGGTTGGATAAGTTTAAGATTATGTATATTCTATTTAATTTCATTATTAATAATTAAAAGTGGAGGAGGATTATATAATGAAAATGGCTTAAAATTTGGAAATTGGATTGAATTGATTCCATTTTATGGAGAGTAAGAATAAATTTATATAAAGTTTTAATTAAGTTATCTAATTTGGTAATTATAAAAATGATAAAAAAATTGGAAGATGGGATATTAAATATTAAAAAAAGGGAAAATAAAGCTATTCAAAGATGTAAATAAATAGTAAACAATAATATAGTGGTGGAGGTAGTTATGACGAATAAGGGTTAAAAAGTGGTATTTGGATAGAATTGAATGATAATTTTGGAGAGTATAATTTTAATTATATTATTTTAATTAGCTATGCTTAAATACTTTTTGTAGGATAATATTAGCAAAATGTAAAAATAGGAAGATGGGATATTTATTAAGGAACAAAAATAAAAAATACTTCCAATAAAATGTATAATTATATTTAATATTTTAAACATCTTTTAGAGGTGGAGGATTGTATGATAAATAAGGTTAAAAATATGGTTTATGGGAGGAAATAAGCAATAATTTCTTTAAGTAATTTTTTTAGATTTAAATTAGTACAAATGAAGTAAAGCTTTAAGGCTAATATAAAAATAATAAGAGATTAGGTAGATGGTTTTTTATAATGAGAAATCAATAGATGTTTTTATTTTATAATATTAAGAGAATAGTGGTGGAGGATATTATAATGAATAAGGTTTAAAGGTGGGTTTTTGGGAGGATGTGAGTGATATATTTTAGAAGTATCACATTATAAAATATTTAATTAGTTATTCCTAAATTACTTATGAAGGAGAGTATTATGATGGCAAAAAAGTTGGTAGTTGGAATTTGATATATTTCAAAGAAAAAATGTATGAAAATTTATAAATAAATTTAGTGGGGGAGGATATTATAACGATTAAGGTTTAAAGAACGGTAAATGGATAGAATTGGGAGATAATTTTAAAAAGTAATAAATTTTTATATATCATAACACTATTAGTAATGTTTAAGAACTTGAAAATGCTGAATATAAAAATGGTTGGAAGATTGGATTATAATTTGAAAGAATAGCAGGATTTTTTGATAAATTTAGCTTTAGATTCGTAAAAGTTTACATCTAAATATAATAATGAAATAAATAATGAGATTGAAGGATATAAAAATAAAAAATTCAAATTTTAGTTTCTTCCTTTTTCTCTTATTAATTTACTTATAAATAAAGACTTGAAAATATCTATCAAATTAAATAGAATATTTATAATCCATAATTTGTTAATCCAAAGTTATTTCAAATTAATTACATATAATAAATACCTATAAAGCATAGGTTCTAATATTAATTAATACTTAATTCAAATTGATATCATATCTTTATTTTATAAATGATAAATATCTATTAATGATGTCTATTTATGATACACATATTTCGAGCATTCATATTTAATTTACAAATATATGATGTTTTAAAAGATAAAGCTATTTTGTATAATAATTCTTTCAAAATATTCTTACAAATTTAATATTAATAAATTAAAGAAAAAACAATAATTATGATTTTATTTATTTTATTGTAAACCTAGAGAAATATTTTCCACTAATTTCATTATCTTTAATGTTTAATATTAATTCCTACTCTAGCAAATTAATCTTTATTTTATAACTTGCTAAATAGTAGAATTAAATTTTAAGTTATTAAAAATTCAGTTATGAATTAATTCTTAAATACAGTCTGTCACTTTTAGAGTTTTTGTTATGATGGAGCAATATATCGAAAAAATACTTATTTTGTAACATTTGATAAATTAAGAATCACTTTTAAATTTTATTATTAAATGTTCAAGGTAATAAAAAAATTGATAATATTAGTTTGAAGTAGCAGAGTAATTTTAGCGATATCTCATATATAAAGTTTAGAATTTGTTGATTGAGTTAAATTTTAATTATTTCTTGAGAGTTTTTTTATAGTTTCGAAAGCAAGTGTTAGTTTTTAAATTATAACAGAAATATCTATAATTGTGGTGAAATTATATATTTTATTTCAACAGTCTGTTTTAGATGATATTATTTTCTATTATCTATCTAAAAGGTTTTTAAACTAGATACTTAAGTATAAACTACAAATCTTAATTGTACCATTTAAATTAATTTTATATCAATATAATCAATCCAAGTAATTAAATTTCAAAATAATCTTAATCATAGCTTCATTATTGTATTTTAGGATGGCTCATTATATAGTTGTAATTAACTAAAATACCTACATGAAATACAAAAATTAAGCTAATTATTGGTTAAAACCAGTAATTGGTTAGTTTATATTTTTATTGAATTAATAATTTTAATAGGTCTTTTTACTAATTTAATGCATCATCAGCCCTTAAATGGTAAAAAAGGAAGATGAATGGAAATAAACTATAAAACATTTTTGAGCAGACTAATTCATTTAAATTATTTGTATGTAAAAACATATGAGTTTGGAGAATATACCCAAAACTAAAATAGGTATATGTTAATTTAATTATATAGATAAGGAGATATATTTGAATCAATTTCAATTTATTGGTTGAGGAGAAAATTATATTTAAGGTAAAAAAACATAGGAAAATGGATCGAGATAAAGTTATTAATGGATAATATCAAAATGATAAAAAAGAAGGTGATTGGAAGATTTGTTTGAATATTCAGTTTTAATTTAACAAAAACTGTAAATTACGATATTATATATATTTAAAAGTGAATGGATAATATTAAGTATTATAAGGAGTTCAATAAAGATTGGGATTTAGATATGCGATAGATTTAAAGTAAATTCAAAATTACTTAATATCCAGATTATTGTATGAACAAGAAGTTAAAAAGTTAGAATAAAGTATTGTATTTAAATTAATTCTTTATTTTTTAGTTAAACATAATCAAAAAAACAATAACAAATTTAAACTAGATTATTAATTTTAATTTAAATTTCAAATTGGAGAATAAATTATATATTAAACAAATGTGCTGGTAGACTGAAATATTTTTCAATTATAAAACTCCCTTTTTAATAAAGTTAATATTAATTATGATGAACTCGTGAATTAGAAATAAGGATATGGATTAAAATACAATATTATATCTGGATTATCATATTAAATAGGCTTAAATATTGACTTTTCAAGGTTGCAATTAAGTATCTAATTAATTTAATACTATCATCACAAATACTATATATATATAATTTTAATTATTTAGGATCTGAAAATAAATAAAATCTTTAAATATTTTTTTTTGATAATTAAGTTTTTTCAAGTGTGATACTTTAATTTGTCAAGTATATCAATATTTTTGGATTCGGTTTCATTAATTATCTAATTATGAAATGTATATACAAACTTTATCCATTTGATTTGGTTGAAATTATAACTGAAAAAAAAATGAAATACCACTTATAGTATTCTGTCAAATTTAAATATATTATCTTTTAAAATATCTTACTTAATACTATTTTGTATTAAATAATCACATTTATCTTATTACAAAGGGCCTAAACATTTTATAATCTTCATCACTATTAGATTACCCAAATGTAATTATTGATATTTTCTTAAAATTTTCAATTTGAAGATTATTTTGACTTAATCCATCAAAATTTTGAAATAACTTTTATATAAATATATAATTTTTAGGTTGTTCAAAGATTTTTTATTATATTTTTATCTTTATTTTATTTTTATAATCTATTATATGGCACTGTAATTCTTTTCAAATTCATCATAGAATTCGGAGGATATGATTCTGAATAATAATAAAGTTTCTTAGAAACCATATTCAAAGAATGACAATTCCTTTGGTTAGTTATTTAATTCTATACAGATGTACTTTGTATAATTTTTAAATAAATAAAATTCTGCTCCATGATTATCTATTTCCATTATTTTCTCATAAACATATAATTTATTTGATAAACTGTTATTTTATGATTATTACTATAGCTCTCACCATTAATAAGAATTAGATAATAAATTTGTAAGTGCATTCATTCCATACACCATCAACCACAAGAATATGAATATGCCTCTCTAAATATTTTTATTATTAATCTATTGTCCTTCAGATCATTTTATTGATATTTTAAAATTATATTATAATGACCGAAAATTTATCTCTAAATATGTATTTAAATGGACTTTTTATATTAATATTCAATTCAATATATTATATTATGGATAAATCCTTAAAAATCTTAAAAGTTTATATCTTCTTTATTATTATTGATTTCCTATATTAATTATATCCAAATTTAATCTGAAATTTATCCATTTCCAAAAATCAATTTTAAATCATTTGCATTTATTAACCCATTACAATCCTTTTCATAAGTTATAAATTTACTTTATCAATCATTTTAAATATATTTGTTATTCTATCATAGGATAATAATTCTGATCTATTTATAGATGCAGCAATAAATTCAGAATAATCAATATATCCTGAATTATTTTAATCAAGATTATTCATGATTATTCCTACTTATTCCACTGCCTCATATTCATTCATAATCATTTTCAAGCCAACTAAAAGTTCTTATTTACTTAATAAACCATCATCGTTTGTATCTAAGAATTTAAATATTTTTATTAATTCTGATTTGTCCTCTTAAGTTATAAGTTAATTTACTATATATTAATATATAGTAAATTGGATCTTTGATATAGACTACAAGATAAAGAAAGAAATTTACTTTAAAAGATTTAATATTTTTTAGAACTCTCTCAATTTATGATTATTCAATATCTTCCTTTAATTATGTAATCCATGTATGTTTTAGAGCTTATTCAGCATTATATCTTTTATTAGGATCTTTTTCCATTAGTTTTGAGATAAAATCTTTAGCTTCATTTGTGATATTATTCCATTCTTAAGAATTTAAATCATATTTTCCTTATTTAACTCTCTCTAAAACCTGTGCTTCAGATTCTCCATTAAAAGGTGGAGATCTACTTAATAATATATAAGTTAAAACTCCACAGGACCATATGTCACATTTTTGATCATAATTTCTTTCTAATACTTCTGGAGCAATATAATAGGGCTGATTAAAATTATAAATATTTACAGTTCCTATTCTTTATGTCATCTTTTAATTCTGATCAAATATTCTTGATGTTTCAAAATCTATAATTTTAATGATATCTCTTTTATCTTTATTATCAAAAAGAATATCCGATGGGTTTATATTTCTATGTACTATTTTATGTTAATGACAATAATTTAATCCTTGTAATACTTATTTCATTAATTTTATTGTATCTTTCTCTGAAAATTTATCAGATTCAACTATTGCATCAATTAATTCACCACCATTACATAACTCTGTAACTATAAAAATTTATTTAGAATTTTAGTAAAATTCCAGAATTTTTATTACATTAGGATGATCCTAAATTAATAATCTCATACCAACTATTTAAGTATTTCTGCTTCATGTAAGACTGTAGATATATCCCCTATTAAAACTGTCGATTTATCAATTATTTTTATTGCCCGTGTTATACCTAGAACTTTGTGCAACCCAATCTTAACGACTGATTAAGATCCTTTAATTAAAATCACTTTTACCTATTCCTAATTTCGATGGGAGTATTTCATAAACATCTTTAATTGATAAGTTTTAATGAAGGTTGATAAAATCAAGTAATTTAATCTAAATTTTTTCATTTGACTCTTATTCTAATTATTATTAATCTAGCTCTTGAAACTTTTACTCTTAATGTTATTTTTTTAAGAGGCTTAAGAGGCTTAGTTATCCCATTTTTTTATATTATTATTTTTAAATTTTGCAATGTATCCAAAATTATTTGAATAGTTATTCATACAAAATACAATAACAATCAAATAAATTTAGTTTTTGTATTCTATATAGCTCAAAGGAGTTTAAGAAATCATGAAGTTATTTTTAAGATTGAAATTAATTTTCAAAATATAAGAAGAAGTTAAATTACAAATGATTAGTAAAGAAAAGCTTTTTAACCCAATAAGAATTGCATCATGATAAATAAGAAATTAATAAAAAAATCAAAATTTACTAAGCTTAAGAAATAAGAAGACTATTTAAGTTGATTATAATTAATCTTAGATTCAATTTGTAACACATATATATCTAAGATAAGTAATATTGAAGGAATAGATGATGATATTTTTTAAATTAATTTTATTTTGTTTATTTCCTGTTATTTCTATGCCCTGATCTAATTTAAAAATTCATTTTCATTTCATCAAAATCTGACTAATTTACTCTCACTAAAAATCAAGAGAATGTTTTTTCATTTTTTTCTTTTTTAAAGAATTAAATAATCGATATCTTCTTTGTTATCAAATATAACTAAAAAAGAATCCATTTTATATATTTCAGAAATGATTTCCAAAATTTGATTCATTTAAAATATTTTTTAATCCCTTATAATATTATACTTACCAAATATAAAATTGTAATTCAACTAAGAATGTTTTAAATTTGTTAGATTTTGAGTGATTAAATAAATAGCTTATCAATCTAACTATTATAAATTATTCTCTCAAAGTAAAAATTCAGAATAGAGTTCTACGTTTGCTTATTAATCAATCCCTTTTTAACATATATTTGATAACTTATTCAAAAAGATTAGATTAAAAATATTCATGAAAAATGATTACATTTATAAAAGAATATATGTACGGAAATGTTAATATAGAATAATAAAATATTAAATAAATGAGGCTGATATTAACTATTGCAATTAGTATNAATAATCTCATACCAACTATTTAAGTATTTCTGCTTCATGTAAGACTGTAGATATATCCCCTATTAAAACTGTCGATTTATCAATTATTTTTATTGCCCGTGTTATACCTAGAACTTTGTGCAACCCAATCTTAACGACTGATTAAGATCCTTTAATTAAAATCACTTTTACCTATTCCTAATTTCGATGGGAGTATTTCATAAACATCTTTAATTGATAAGTTTTAATGAAGGTTGATAAAATCAAGTAATTTAATCTAAATTTTTTCATTTGACTCTTATTCTAATTATTATTAATCTAGCTCTTGAAACTTTTACTCTTAATGTTATTTTTTTAAGAGGCTTAAGAGGCTTAGTTATCCCATTTTTTTATATTATTATTTTTAAATTTTGCAATGTATCCAAAATTATTTGAATAGTTATTCATACAAAATACAATAACAATCAAATAAATTTAGTTTTTGTATTCTATATAGCTCAAAGGAGTTTAAGAAATCATGAAGTTATTTTTAAGATTGAAATTAATTTTCAAAATATAAGAAGAAGTTAAATTACAAATGATTAGTAAAGAAAAGCTTTTTAACCCAATAAGAATTGCATCATGATAAATAAGAAATTAATAAAAAAATCAAAATTTACTAAGCTTAAGAAATAAGAAGACTATTTAAGTTGATTATAATTAATCTTAGATTCAATTTGTAACACATATATATCTAAGATAAGTAATATTGAAGGAATAGATGATGATATTTTTTAAATTAATTTTATTTTGTTTATTTCCTGTTATTTCTATGCCCTGATCTAATTTAAAAATTCATTTTCATTTCATCAAAATCTGACTAATTTACTCTCACTAAAAATCAAGAGAATGTTTTTTCATTTTTTTCTTTTTTAAAGAATTAAATAATCGATATCTTCTTTGTTATCAAATATAACTAAAAAAGAATCCATTTTATATATTTCAGAAATGATTTCCAAAATTTGATTCATTTAAAATATTTTTTAATCCCTTATAATATTATACTTACCAAATATAAAATTGTAATTCAACTAAGAATGTTTTAAATTTGTTAGATTTTGAGTGATTAAATAAATAGCTTATCAATCTAACTATTATAAATTATTCTCTCAAAGTAAAAATTCAGAATAGAGTTCTACGTTTGCTTATTAATCAATCCCTTTTTAACATATATTTGATAACTTATTCAAAAAGATTAGATTAAAAATATTCATGAAAAATGATTACATTTATAAAAGAATATATGTACGGAAATGTTAATATAGAATAATAAAATATTAAATAAATGAGGCTGATATTAACTATTGCAATTAGTATATATTACTCTTAATTAGAATAATATCTGGCATTGCTCTTAACTCCTTTAAGAGTTTGGTTGCTAGAAAACTGCACTAGAATATTTTTGGGATTATTATTTTAGAGTTTATGTTTATAAGAATCGTAGAATTAATATTAGGAAAGTTCAAATGACACTAATTATTAATCTGTAGAATACCTATAAACTTGTACATCCATTTCAAATCATAATATAGTTAATTTTAATTTTATTTTGTTATTTGCTATAATTATTTTTCATCTGTTGGATTGTGTATATATGGAATGGAAAATGATGTATTTAGGCTACATCATGTTTTAACTATGTACATTCTACTTCTTCTGATAATTTATGGATGTTACTTTAGTCTTTATTTATACTTCAGCTCTATTTTGATTTTTTATTTTCAATCTTTTATAAACCAAAAAAAATGTAATTGGATGCAATAGGAAATTTTAATCAAAATAAGAAGAATTTGAACCTTTGTAAATGGACTAAATAAATATGTTATTCATATAGTAATGCATGAACCTTCTATAGGAATAATGAAAAGGAAAAACAAATAACAATGATCTTTTCAGATATTTTTTAAGGATTTAAAAATTAAATTAACAATTCAAGTTGTTCTTTAATATTACATTTATGAAAAGCAAAAGGAAAGTGAATATAATTACGAAAAGTAGAAAGTCAATAAGAGTAAGTTAACTAATGATTAAAAATAGAATTATATATTCTATACAATTCAATTCAAGTCAATTTTCCTGTGTGGAAACAGCTTATGGATTATTTTTCTATTCTTATTAATATTTGTGATATGCTTTGCAAATTTAGTAACTAAGATAAAGTACCACAATTAAACCAATCAAAAAACCATAAAATATGCTAAATAATCCTACAGTTATTCCATAAAGAATTCCTAGAATACCTTTGGTCCAATCTTAAGTCCAAACAAATTCAGCATTATGTTCACAAAGTAAATAGGCAAATAGTAAAAAAGCCATTATTTCCCCTATTATAGTGATAATGAGAACATGTGGAAATAATTCTTAATTTGATATATCATCCCAATAGATAGTAGCTGAATAAATTAAAAAGAATATAACACCAAAAATTCCTAATAATAAACCAATCATTAATTAACAATATCCTCCTTATTTTTCATAATTTGGTACATGATTATTTTTACAATATATAAGTATTAATTCAATAATATTAAATCCAACATTAATAGAAAAAAATATTAATGCCAATAATTCTAGTAATGAATCAAAATTAAATGCTAAATATGCTGTTCCAATTCCTAATTGTAATGTATCCATTAATTTAAAACGTTTTTCTCTTTCTAAAGTCTTTGATTCCCCTTTATCAAAATATATTCTCTCGTAGTATATTATATAAAAATGAAAAATAAACCATGCAACTATTTAAGCAATAAATTCCCCAATTGAATATGTTCTCATATCACGAAATACTATTGCAACAACAAAAAATATAATTCTACATGTCATTCCGATAGATATATTTATATCTAATCTTTAAATATCAACAATTATTTAAAATAATGAAAGCAAACCATCCACAAAATCTATTATATTATTTATTTACATTTAATAATCTAATTAAATAAATTCTCTCCAAAACTTTTATTTTATTAAATCACATTATTATATATTATATATAAACTATTTCCATTTTATATAATAAACTGTAAATTTTAAATTCAAAAATCTATTTTAAATTAATCAATATTTTGAGTGTGATCTTTGGTAACTTTCGACTTTCTGAATTTTTTTGCTCTCAAGTTATTTATTTCAATTATTGCAAAACACTAAAATATTTTATTTGATTTATATATTTTCTTTTTATTATTTTCCCAATTGTCTCAAAAATATTGAGTTCAATTTATATCACCTCCTTATATAGAATTCATTTTTTATTGTCCATTTCGCAATTCATCTGAAAGCATTATAATGAAGAATAAGTTTATAAAGAATAGAATCTAAAGTTTATTTTTTAGTTCAATAATAATTAATAATTCTGATTAAAAAAATTTAATATTTTAAAATGTAAAACAGAATCTATAAAATTTGTAAAAATAAATAAATCATCAAGTAATAATTCTTTTAACCCTCGGCGAAGATTTTGAATTCTATTAAATTGTAAAAAATGATGATGTCGATTACATTAAAAATTTGATCATAAACAAAAAATAATGAAAATTTTAAATTCGTTCCTTAAGGTAATTGATACCTTTTTTAATTTTATTAATAGCAATTTCGATTTTTAAATAAAACAGATTGCCACCTCCATTGAACTTTATTTTAGAATACAAAAGTATTTTATGACATTATAATTGAACTTTTAATTCATTAGTTTTATTAAATAC